TAAGGAAGAGTTCTTTCCCACACAGTCCTGGAGGACAGAAGCTGATCCAGGGTGGAAGGAAGACGGCGAGACTCCAGTCCAGATACGGCGGTTGCGGAGTCTGCGGTGGTTGTGGTGTCTGCTGCAGTGCTTGGAATCCTCAGGAAGCGCTAGGAGCATCCGTCAACGGAGGGTACTCAGTCGGAGTACAAGGAGCTCCGTTACAAGGACCAATCGTCTATATCCAGTTCAGGTATAGCTAGTTTTAACACTGATAGATGGGTGGCTCAAGACCAGACAGCAGACGGATTTTCGGTACAGTAGATTTCAGGCTTTAATCTTAGTTTTGGTCATAAGAAACATATCCGCCAACCATGGGCCCTTAGGCGGAAGCATCCATAAAATATCTTTTAGTGAATGCGGAGGGAGATTGATAGCCTTCATCTCAAGTCAAAGAGGGCGGTCATGGTTGAAGTTCAGCGCCACTGCTGCATTAGTTGCATAATAATAATTAATAAAATCCAGAAAACCCACACCTCCACGAACCCTGAGCTTTTGAAGTATGAATTATTTAATCCTAGATAGTTTCCCATTCCAGATGAGTTTCAAGAGAGCAGAATGTGCCTTTTGAAAAAAAGATAAGTGAATCGAAAGGGGGGCGGCTCTAAGAAAATATACAATTCTGTGAAGGAGAGTAATTTTCACTGAATTAATCCTACCTAACCATGAGATTCCCAGACTACAACACCTCCCAAGATCGTTCCTAAAGTCAGACCAGACCTTACCTAGGTTAAAAGAATGCATCTTGGACAGGTTCTTGCATAGGTTAATGCCCAGATAAGAGATATAAGAGTCCCTCCAGTTGAAGTCAAACCGACCTTTCAGAATATCTAAGTAATACCAAGATATAAAGAAAGAGAGAGCTTGAGTTTTGACTGTATTCAATTTGTAGAACGAAATTTCACCGAATTCCTGCAGGATCGACATTAACAGCGCAAGTGAAATCATTGGGTTTTTAAGTGATAACATGATGTCGCCTGCAAAAAGGCCTATCTTATGTTCCTTTCCCCCAACTACAATGCCTTCAATATCTGTGCTGCATCGTATCATCTCAGCCAGGGGCTTTATTGTCAGCACAAACAGGAATGGAGACAATGGACACCCCTGTCTGGTCCTATTGGATAATGAAAAGTTTTCAGAAACAAAACCAGTCGCAGCTACTCTATCCGTTGGTTGACAGTATAATGGAAACACAGCCCTAAGGAAGCAAAGAGTGGATTTAAGATTATTAATCAAATTGATGAAACCCACCTGGTTTTTGTCAATTAGGAAAGGAAAAAGTTGATTAAGTCTGTTTGCTAAGATTTGTTTTTTGTCTTATGGATTTGGTATAGTTTTTATTTATAATTTTTTAAATATATTTTCTGTGTATTTCTTGTATGGTTTCATGTACTTCCTGTTATACGTCCGTGGAACGCATGTTTAGCGTTCCACGCGATACCAGAAGTACCTTTCAATAAGGTTTAACTGAAAACGAGGCTTGGAACGCATCATTTCATCATTGGTGACACATTTGGATATGATTGGACGCATAGAAGGCGGGATTTCGCGGCATTTAAAAGACGGACTAAAGAGACTATCGTTCACCTTCATTTTGCCCCTGAGGAAGTCTCGGTTGGAGACGAAACGCGTAGGGCGGAGGGACCACGACAGCACTTTGTTATATACTTTTAAATTATATTGTTTTTTGTTTTTTTATTATTGTTTTGTATTTATTTATGCCAGTACTTGTTTAAGGGAAGAGGGATGCCGGCACCGTGATTCCCCGAGTATTTTCACGAGCTGGATTATTACTTTCATTGTGTGAGTGCAATTTAATAAATATTATTCTTTATTACTATATTGGTGCACTATGGTCTGTGTGTCTCTCCCTTTTTAAAGGTGAAGCAGAAGACTCCTTTTGTCCGTCAAAATTCAGGATCGTTATATGCCCATATTGTTCTCTCATCTTGTGAGTGCAACCTTATCAGCGCACATTTTGGTGTTTCAATTTATTGCACTATATACTTTCTTGTTTATTCTTTTTTGTAGATTGTATCTTTTATAAAGGTATCCTGTAAATATAGAGCCGAATTTTCCCTAAATTAATTATTAATTGCTGATTCAGCCAATGTTTAGTTTTCAAGCTCAGTGACTAAATAATCACTAAGTCTCCACCGTCTGTTAGGGTTCGACTGGAAAGACTCCTCAATACACATCGTTATGGGGGCATGATCAGACCAAGTAATATCCTAAATTTCAGAGCACAAAACAAGGGGTATAATATTCTCACCTACCAAGAACCTGTCGATCCAAGAATACATGTTATAAATTGCTGAGTGGTAGGTATAGTCTTTGTAGCGGAGCTGCAATATTAAATTCCACGATCTCCAATGGTACAGAAGGTAATCCACAGTCAAGCGCTGAAAAGTAAGGCAATATCCCAAATCCCCCAGTAACCGGATGAAACACAGTTCTGGGAGTCAACTGAGGTTTTTATTCACAGCTCCAGTATTTATGCAAGTCCCCATGCAAGGGGTTTCCCTAATGACATAGCAGTGGTAATACAGTAGGGGACTACATGGGGGACTTAACATTCTGGGCATTTCTCCCATCAGGCACTGCTGGACGAGAGGGATACTCCCACTGGAATATACCGTTAAGTGGATTATCCCTCCGTGCAGCAGAACCGGCATTTTACATTTATATACATAACTTTAACAATATTCAGGTTATTTAAACGAATGGACATTCGGTAGATAGCTGGGGTCTGAGTGCACATTTCGTAGGAATACCGCTTAGATCCCAGCTAAAACAACTGAATGCCGCACGAAATACACTTTGCCATTGAGTTCGCCTAAAAGTACCGAACACCGATGGGGAACCACAATAGCGAAAGACCGGAGCTCCTGAACGGCCTGGAAGTCCAGCTGTGTTCGCGCCGTCGATTAGCTCTTTTCAGTTCCACGCGCTTGACGACCAAACACTGCTGGTGAGACAAAGGATCCAAGATGGCCGACCACCGCGTGGTCGGTAGCCGAACGACGGCCACCTAGGAAAGTCTTTAATTACCGATTGCAACAATGTTGCAATCGGTTAATGAGTGCCACACGTCCCTCTATGTGTGGGCTATTGGGGGTAGCTCATTCGGTTCACGAACAGCTAGTAAAGTCGCTGTTCGTGAAACGAAACACATGAATGCTAGCGGCTTTCGGCTGCTAGCATACGAATTCTATGCACATAACAGTACAGACCAAGGTTACACATATATTACAGCGGTTATTACAGACAACCTTTTGATACAGATAGTCCAGCATCCTAAAAGTGGCTAGGTTTGCCACAGTCTTTCCCTCCTTCATGCTGTATGTGCCAACAGTCGAATAGGCCCTGAGAAAAAATTATTTTGGAACAGGAATCAGCCAATTTCTCACTATTATGATTTTTAATGGTGCTATTTACATATCTAACAATATCATATTCGCAATCAAGAACAAAATTGGTGTCACCACCCAAAATCAATCTGCCTCTGACCTCATCTGAAACAATCGATTTCAGAAAACAAAATTGCCCAGAGTTAGGGGAATATAGACTTACCAAAGTGTACTCAATACTATTTACTTAACCTTTCCAGATTAAGTATCTGCCATCTGGATCTAAAGTCACATCATTTGTGTGACACGCTACATTTTTACTAAAAAATATAGAGACGCCCCTGGATTTCTTACAAAATGCAGAGAGATACTGGGTGGGGTAGTCTTTCTTCAGAATATTGTGTATGCTATCTGTTTTAAAATGAGTCTCCTGGATGAGCAACACCCCTGGCTTGTTACGTTTCACCTCTCTAAATAAAAGTCGTTGTGCGGAGTGTTCAGTCCCTTCACATTAAATGATAAACATTTTAAAACCATTCCTATCGCTCAAACAGAGCAAATAAGAACAAAATAAAAAATTGGTGAAGGAATCTGAACACACCACACAACCCGAGACACATTTGAAAATTAAACAATCCTACCTGAGTAAGTAAAGTCCACCTGACCAATTTATGTTTGACTCTGTGTATCTCAAAAATATTGTACAAGGTTATTACATCATGAAAATAAAACCGCACATTATTGATGACATTATCCGTGTTTACAAGACATAAATAATAAAAGAGTAAAAAAACTTGGATAAAACCCCCAAGTACGGTGAAAATTAGAAGTATAATGCTTCCAAATAGAGGCAAAAAAAATAAGATAAAAATTAAAGCATATATAAAAAATAAGGCCATGAGAGGAGAAGCAAAATATTCCTCCATCTCACAAAAATTTACAGGCCTGTTGGAGGGGAGAGGACCAGGGGACACTGGGCAATATGAAGATTAATAAAAATGTAATGTAAAAAGACAATGTAAGGTTATGAAGAAAATAATATTAAAAATAACATTAAGAAAGAATACAAAAAAAACATAAAATTACGCCATAAAAGTAATAAAATACTAATAAAAAAAATTATAAGATAGTTGAATGATAATATAAGAGAGAAAAAAAAATTAAAAAGAAAAGGAGAAGAGAAAAAAAAATTAAAATAAAATTCACAGAACAAAAAGGAATTACAAAATAAAAGACCGAAAAATTGCAGTGTATAAGATAAGAGACAAACTAGTCCAGGATCAGGACCCAAAAACAGGCACTCGTTCTTGAGTCCATTTGTAAGTCCCATAAACAAAGCAGCATGTAGGAATCAAGAGATGAAAGTTGTAAGTAATCCATGAAGCAGAAACAGGATTCAGGAACCCGGACAACACCCGATAGACTGGAATGAAGAAGCAGCCGAGACCAAAGACCAAGCTGTAGAAGTAATAAAATATAGCCATAGTCCCAAAGGGATGTAGCAGGAACCAAATAATTTTGTATATGGCTAGGAGCAAAATCAGTAGACAATAGCAGGGAAGGAACAAAATGAACGTTCTTGTATGATCAACGATATGACAGAGCATCCCTTCATCTAATCTTCCTTGGCGGTAGTGGCGGTAGTGGAGTTGATGGAGATCTGGATATTGGCAGTGGAGTTTCATGATCAGAGCCTCTTAAAGTATGAATAACTTCCATACCTTCCTCAGGTTTATGAAGACATATTGTTTTCTGTCCAGACGGAAGAGTATCTTCACAGCGGTACCGTATGTCTAATTTGCAAAGTTCCACCATAAATGGGTCGAATTCTCTCCTCCTTTGCATCGTCATTGGAGAGAAATCCTGAAAGATTTAAATTTGTCTGTATTAATTTGGCAAGTCAGATGTACACAATGCCATGAGAAAATCTTCATTTACAATGAAGAAATGAATACGGGCTATTACGTCTTTAGGAGCATCTAGGAGAGCAGAACTGGGTTTGAGGAGTCTGTGAATACAGTCTATTCTCAGATCGTCAGCACTCAAATTAGGACAAACAGACCACATTACAGCTTTCAGGTAATCAGCCAACTCATTTAGCTGGATAGAATCAGGGATCACCCTAACCCTAATGTTGTTGCATTTGCTCCTGTCCTCCAGTTCATTTACTTTACCTTACTGATAGTCAGTTTCAGACTGGTATTTGAGCTCAAGCTATCTCAGTCTTTCATTTAAATCATCTTGTGTTTGAGCATGTTGTTGCAAAGTGGATTAAATTTGTACATTTTTATTCTCTAGTGCAGATACTTTGCTGCCAATTGTAACAATATTCTGCTTCAAATCCTCTCTAATGGATTGAAGCATATCCCATATAAGTTCAATAGCAGCTGAAGGTCCCTGCAGCTTCTCTTGTGCCAGGTATGAAGTAAATCCTGGCAAATCTATTGTAGCAGGCTGCCCATGTATTTTATTAGCTCTCTGAACTGTTTCAGTGTCAGAGGCAAGTCTTTCACTACTTACTGCTGCTTCCCACTTTCCCACTGCCATTCCATTTGTGGCCTGGGCACGAGCTGCACTTACTTCTCTGGACTTCTCAGGTTCTGTCTCAGCTCCCCTGGAGCCTCGGTCACTCTCCTTTTGCCGACCTCTTATGTTCTTGTCAGGAGATGCCACGAACGGGCCCACGGCTTCCTCGGGCCGCTCCACCTCCATAGCTCTTTCGGCTGCCGATGGAGGCTGCGTGGGGGGTCTCTTCAGTCGTGAGCAGCTGGGATTAAGACAACAGCTGCACATGATTTGGCAGAGGCTGTGGGAAACTTCTCTGTAGGTAAAATAGAGCGGGCCACCGACAATTTAGAGGTGCCGTGGCCCCCGGGCATTTCTGGGGTCTTGGAAAGCTTTGTAGCTGTAGTTCCAGAATCAACTTTTTTTTTTGACGATTTCTGCATGTTCGTGAGCAATTCGGGAGATAATCCACATGAATTTCAGGCGAAATTATTAAAGTAACATAGGGTATTTTGTCAAATGAAAGCCTAATGTCCCAGGGTCACTCTTAAAAAGCAGCCACCATGTTTGATGGCCAAGCCAAGCCCCCTGACAGATTAATTTCTAAACACATGTAATGTAGTTTAACCCCTTAAGGATGGAGGCAATCCAAGTTTTAAACAAAAGAAAAACCTAGACTATGAGCTATATGTCTGTTTAGCCATAATTTAATGTTCTCATATTAAGTGCACCCACAATTATTATTTATAATTCTGTTCAGGAGAAAGGGCTTTCATTGAGTGTGAGGCAGTCTCCCTGATTGGATCTGGTGAGATGAGTATTATTCGGGAGGGCTGCACTGGCAAGTCATTAGAGCCAGTTGTGTATCCTGGTTCTGTGCTGCCCTAGGCAGGACAAAACTCAGACGCCCCTCTCTCCCCCCACGCGCAACTCCCACCCAACCCTTATCCCCGCGCCGCCTTCTAAATACACACATTCACTGACAGATACGCATACACTAACAGACAAACACACACTCACTAACACACAAACACACACTCACTAACAGACACACACAGACACACACTCACTCACTAGCAGACACACACACTCACTAACAGACACACGCACTCACAGGCAAACACACTCACACTAACAGAGACACACACAGTCAGACACACACTCACTCACTAAGAGACACACTAACAGACACACACACTAACAGACACACTCACAATCACTAACACACACACACTGACACACACACACACACTAACAGACACACACTAACAGACACACACACTAACAGACACACACACACTAACAGACATACACACACACTCACTCACATTAACAATTTTTTTTTTATTTACCTCCCCCCCCCCCAGCCTCCTTACCTTTGGGAATGCTGGGGGAGGGTTCCCTCTCTCCCTGGGGGTGCAGGGGGTACAGTGGCTGCTGGGCGGCCGGCGCTGGCGGGCGGCTGGCGAGGGAGCTTTTCCTCTGAGCTGTCTGCTCAGCTCTCGCGAGGCTAACAAGACATTTGCCCTGGGCATTTGGGGCGGCTTTTTTTGCCGCCCCCTGGAAAATGCCGCCCAAGGCAAATGCCTTGTTTGCCTTGCGGCTAAAACGTCCCTGATTAGAGCCCATGTTATTCAGGATGTAATGATGCGTCCTAACACCAGCAAGACGTTAAAGACACATTACTGTGAGTATTATTGCTGGGGAGATTTGTTATACATTCAAACACACCAACAATATGGAGCTTCTAGAAAAGAAGGATATAAGGATAAAAAAGAGGGACAGAGGGATATGGACCCAAAATAGGGACTGTCCTTCCTAAATAGGGACACTTGGGAGGTATTAATACATTAATAACATCTGTCCACCCACAAGATGGCAATGTATTTGTTAATTTGATAATATATCCAGGTACCATAAAGTCTTGGCTCTCACCTCAGGCCTCAATATTCCACAGAGAACAAAATGGAAAAAGCACAAATACTTGAAGTCAGGTGTATCATTATTTCCCAAACCAAATAACAAACAGTAGAATTGTCCATGCGTTTATCTATTTATCTAGTTAGTTTGAATTCTGATATTGTTGCAGGTCCATCTAAAAGACAAATAGCTTCTGCTGTCCTGTGTCATAGTTCACTGAGTATTTATTGCTCCATATGAAATCCATCATTTGGACTTAGATTGTTAGCTTGTTTGTCTTTTTCCCTCTAAATATCTGTTTTCTATAATTGTAAAGCACAATGGAATATGTTAGCGCTTTATAAATGCTAATAATAATAATAACTGCTTGCATTCTTTTTTTAAAAGAAATAATAATAATAATAAACATTTGGCATACATAAGAAAATTTAAAATAGGCCAAGCATGAAATTATTATTATTTTATTATTTATATAGCGCCATCAGATTCCGTAGCGCTGTACAATGGGTGGACTAACACATTTAATTGTAACCAGACAACTGGACGCACAGGAACAGAGGGATGGAGGGCCCTGCTCCAGGAGCTTACATTCTAGAGGGAGTGGGGGATAGTGACACAGAGGGTAAAAGTAGGGGTACGAAGTAGGTTGTTAGAAAAGTATTCACTGAGGGCTTAGTAGGTCATTTTTGACAGTTGTCTGAGAGGAGTCATTGGGGACTAGAGATGAAAATCTGCCAACAGTTTAATTGATATGCTTTCCTGAAGGGGTGAGTTTTCAATGATTATTTGAATGATTGGAGACTGGGTGAAAGTCTTATGGAGAAGGGAAGGGAGTTCCAAACAAGAGGTGCAGCCCTGAAGAATTCACTGGAAATCACTCATAGGAACACTATGCATTAAATATTTTTCTTTTACACTATGTAACAACTATATAAAATAAATATGTAATGTAATATACATGTAGCAGGTTTCACAGCAAACATGTTTTTTTTTCCGACAGTAGTCCTGCCACTAATTATTTTGAGGTTTTGATCATATAAATTTATTTGTGCCAAAAGGCCCTTTTTCAGGCCTACTGTAATGCAACCAAGTTGGACAGTGACATAGGATGAGGTTTATTCCAGCATTGGCGTTCCACTCAGTCTGCAAAGTGAGTGGAGGGAAGGCCAGGTTTCCCATTTGGCGGAGTAGACACTTGTCCTGTAGGGAGTGCCTATTTACTGCACTTAAAGGGACTAATCTAGCGCCCCTGCATAGCGCTCCCTCCTGCTAGTCACTCAGTGTTGCGTGGCCTCTTGGTGTTTCTCTCTTCCCTCTCTTTTAGTGGTCCCCCACCCTACCCCAGTGTTCATTTTCCCTTCCCTCCCCTGTACCTTAGTGCCCCCCCTTAATATTCCTCTCCCCTCACTCTCTTTTAGTGGTCACCCCCCATCCCTTAGTGTCCCCCCCCCCTCGTCCCTTAGCACCCCTGTCTCTTTCTCCCCCTTGGGCATAGTACTGCACCAATAGACACCTTAGGCCAGCAAGATGGTCCATTGTCTTCTCCACCTCTCCATTAGGGTTAACTCTTTATACAGATGGAAATACAATTAGTTTACTGCAGAAGTCATTTTCAGTGTTCTAAATGAATGTGTCATGTGAATATATAAGTCAAGCCATGTTAAGCAAAAGGACTTGTATTACCTTTAGAGAAATATTCCTCCCCTTGCAGTTCCTTATTAGTCGTGGACTACCATTAATGAGCGGAGGTACTGCATCAATTTCTTGACCAAGCAGAGACTCTGGGCTCTCAGTACTCAACACAGATGGAGCAACCATTTGCAATGGTAAGTCCAAAAAGGGGTTATGTATACAGATTGGGTAATGAATATTAAAGGGACAGTCCACTGCCCAAGTAAAAAAAAAATCACCAAGGGAATTCAATAAGGTTAATTTATTAATGTGCCAATTTATATTGAAATCTGCACTTTTTTGTAACATGAAAAAAAGAGGACACAATTCATACATAAAGCACTTTAGGAAGCTTAAGTGCTTTAGGCATGTGGAGTGTCCCTTTAACGGTGCCTGATCCTTTATCTCTTTGATGCCACTATGATTCATGCTCCTGCAATGCATTTTCTGTGGTAAATGTACTTTCTTTATCTCTTTATAGACACTAACCTCCCTCCCACCTTACCTTAACTAGGTATAGACCATAAATACCTTCAATACTTTCTGCCCTACTTAGATACCCCAGACATGTTCCTTACTTAATATTTTACCTACAGAGCAATAGGACGCTTCATATTGATTTTTGTCAACACATATTTCATTTTTAGTGGTGTACATGGCACCATTCCACTTACACCTGAACTTTTTAACAATTTGCTGGAGAATTTTTAATCAAGAACCCAGAACACAGTCTGATCTTTGTTCATGAAGGTATCAGAATTCTATTAGAAATGAGGCCCTGACCTCAGTGAGAACCAGAGCAAATCTGACAGCTCAAATATAAGCATACATTTACTGCAATAGAACTAAACGTGAGTAAACAGCAATGTCTGCTTTATTTTTCTTCTAACATATGGTTGTTTTAGCATTCAGCCAGACCGGTACCAATCTGTCAGGTATATGGAATTTGCATAGCTGTCATGCATTTTGCTCACGTCATCTACTTCTGCAACAATGCGTGAACATTTGCTTGAAAATACAGGGAGAAAATAGTTCCCACCTCTAAATGTAATCTAGAAAATGCTTTCCAGTGAGTTTACCTAGATCACTTGTTACAGGCAGGATAGGACCCTTGTTTATAATGTAAGGTTACAGTGCAATGCGGGTGCAATGTTCCCATTTTGTTCTAATTGACACATGCTGTAAGTATGTGTGTAGGGAAGCATTGTGGGAACTGTGAGTCTAAAACATCTGTGGAACCTTTTGGGTACTCCTGTGTCCAGCTGGTTTCCCTCTCAGTCCTTTCAAGTTGTCCCTCTTTTATCTGTCTCTGTGGTTTCCTATCTGCCATCCCTCTCTATCACTCACATAATTGTCACTCATAGTCACTCACTGACCCCTCTATCTTTTTTTTTTTTAATCTTTTTTATTTTTATCTCTTTCCTACTTATTTCTTTATCACGTACATTACAAATACTTTACAAAAAAGAAAGTAATTCACCTTCCCTTTATTTGCCCCCCCCAACCCCCATGCCCTTTCCCTCATTCTATATTAATAAAATTTCAATACAATACAATAGAATAATGGTTCAATGTGTTTGCAATCTAGACCTCTCTATCATTTGTTCCCAATAATGAACTATGGGCATGGTAAAGGGTCATACAGCATTATTATTATTATCAATATTTATATAGTGCCAACAAATTCCGCAGCACTT